GGTGGGAGGGGGTGCAACAAGACCTGGATGTCCTTGTACACCAGTTGCTAAAATTAAGCATGTAGGCGGAGCAGGTGACGAAGAAGGCAAATGGTACGTTGGCCTTCATAGTGAGAGGATTCGAGTACAGGAGCAGTGATGTCTTTCTGTAACTGTACAGGGCATCGTTAAAATCACACCTGAAGTATTCTGTACAGTTTTGGTCTCCTTATCAGAGGAAGATCTTCTGGCTATTGAGGGAGTGCAAAGCAGGTTTACCAGACTGATTTTTAGAATGGCAGACTGGCATATGGGAAGAAGCTGTATTCACTGAGGTTTAGAAGAACGAGGGGTGATCTTGTAGAAAATTCCAACAGGACTAGGTAGAGTAAAAACAGGAAGGATGTTCTTGATGACTGAGGAGTCTAGAACCAGGGATCGTAGTTGAAGGGTAAGATATAGAACTTTTAGGACAGAGATGAGGAATTCCTTCACCCAGAAATTAGTGAGCCCATGGAATTTTCTGCTGTAGGTAACTGTTGAAGCCAAAACATGGAAGATTTTCAAGAAAGATGTAGATAAAGTCTTAGATCTCAATGTATTAAAGAATATTGGGAGAAAACGGGAACAATATTGAGTTGGATGATCAGCCATGATCATATTGAATGGCTGAGCAGGCTCAAAGGGCCAAAGGGCCTACTCCTATATTTTGTGTTTCTGTGAATCATATCATGATTGGCCCTCCACCTTGAATCTGTTTTCATGTCCAATTACCATGTGGAATTCCTCAACTGACAGCAAGAGAAAATTAATCTGCAATTCTTGAATATCTTCTGGGAACCAATTTAAGTGATTTGGCAAAATTCTGGATTATATCTATCCATCTACTCAGCTGCAGAATGCCACGTGAGAAATAAAAGGAATATGAGATCAAATTTCTGAGGAGATTTTGATGATTATTGTAGAATCTGAACAGTCAGGAATATTTTGTTTTCATTTTGTACTTTTGGTCAGAGATGTGTAATCCTGTTTTCATGTGTCTTAGTCTTTTTGTTGGCACTTATGTCAATTTTTTCTATTCATACTAACATTTAGAATGCTTTCACTAAAGGTTTTATAATGCTGTTTTCACAAATTTATCTGGATACGGCTTGGTGATTTTTTTGTAGCACAAAAGTCATTGATTCTTAGATGTAACAATCTGTACCATTAGAAAATAAATAATTTCATTTATACAGCAAATTTCAGAACGACAGGATGTCTCAAAATGCTTTACGCCAATTAAATACTTTTGAAGTGTAGTCATAAACTGTATTCTGAATTGAACATTTTTGCAGAATTCTGAATTTGAAGCAATCCCTAATGAAAGCCCATACATTGGGAAGGCCAGATACAAGAGAAACCTCTATATTCAAGAGGAACATATTACTGACCCAGTACAGCATGGAAAAGTTGGAAAAATTCAGTTTGAGGCAGCTGATCAGGGACAAAGTGAAGAAGTGAGAGCAAAACTTCATCAAGACTTGGATGTACAACTGGAAGATAAAGAAAAAATGATTCAGAAAGGTAAAGAGTTGTAGAACTACTGTTCAGAATTATGCTCTCATTTTTTAAATAGTGAAAGATCAGTTAAAGTAGTTTAAAAAAAAAATTTAAAACTAGAGAAATTTTAATGGGCATGGCTGTCAAGAATATTTTAATTAATTACTTTAATAATAAAATCCATCTAAGAATTCCCAATACGGGGAGGCGATGGCCTAGTGGTATTATCGCTGGACTGTTAATCCAGAGCCCCAGATAACAATTTGGAGACTAGGGTTTGAATCCCGCCACAGCAGATGGTGGAATTTGAAGTCAATAAATATCTGGAATTGAGAGTCTAATGATGACCATGAATCCATTGTTAACTGTCGGAAAAACCCATCTGGTTCACTAATATCCTGTAGGGAAGGAAATTGCCATCCTTACCTGGTCTGGCCTACATGTGATTCCAGACCCACAGCAATGTGGTTGACTCAACTGCCCTCTGGGCAAGTAGGGTTGGATGCTGCCTAGCCAGCGATGCCATCATCCTGTTGATGAACTAACCTCAGCATCGTACAAAATTTTACAAAGCAGAATTCTCACCATTTCCATTCTTGGTCTAGTAATCCTGGTGAGAGGATTCCAAATGGCCCCCAGTGGGGAAAGTGAAATGTGATGACTTCTTTTACTGCTTGTGATTCAGGTATGCCTTCTACAAAATGTACCTGGTGTGAATCAGATTCACTTTGGTTCCACCTCCCAGCCTAACAGCGCATCAATGTTCAGGATTTTGTCTGATGTTAAGAATAATTACTTAAGTGAGCTAACACCTCTGGAATCCTTAATTTCTTTAAAATGATTATCTAAAATTCAATTCATGAAGAACTTATTTTATACTCAAGAACAGTATACTTTTTGAAAAGAAGTGAATTTTGAAACTATAAAATTCTACAACTCTCGATCTCTTTTCTTAAAGGTGAAAGCTGTAAAGTAAACTAGTTTTTGAAATTATTTCATTTTCAACATGAAATTGCCAAGGTCTGTGCCTCTTACAGTGATATACTAAAATTGTGAAATTGGTGCAATGCCATATGTCAATATATTTGAATCCTTGTAAATGCAGGATGATCAGGATTTTAGTACAAAAGTTTTATTTTAATACATTTATATGTCTTTAAAAATCCTTGAAGCAGCACCCATGAAATAGGAGTATGAATGGTGCAGTATTATGATTGAGGGAGTGGATTCTACTGTATTAATTTTACAGAAAATTTCAGCCGTAAGACTGAATTTGAAAGCACAAAATGAAAAGTTCCCCAGTGTGCTGTGATTGAGTTCTAAGATAAATAGTGCAAAAAGCAAAGAAGAAACAAATAAAAGTACTGTCCAGCATGCACATTTCATTGCAAGCTGTTTTTGATGATCATTTTTCAAAGCTGAAGAGTCATTAAAGCAACTACAAAATGAAAAGGAAAAGACCCAACAGCAAGTTTTGAGAACCGTTGAAGAGCTGAAAAGTCTGGAGGCGTTAATAGCACAAAAGCGGGTATGTATTGATTAAGATTTAAGTTTCTAGGATCTTTAAACTTGCAGTTGGGCATATTTCATCGAGTTTTTGCATAGATAAACTCAACTAATAATGTATGTACATTGGATGCAAAGATAACATCGCAGTCCCCTAAAATTCCCTCCTTGAAACCTTTATCTTCCTTATCCACAGGTACGAGGTTACGTTTTATGTTCTTTTTACCTTCTCGGCAACTGTCACCCTCACAAGTACCGTGTGCTGTTCAGAATGCCTGTCTGACATCAAGTTATAGCTAAGCAATATTTTTCATTTGTTTAACATCAAGAAGACTACAGCCTTTCCCAGCCTGACAATTTTCTTAGACTGAGCATCTCTTCTACCATTCTCCTCGTCTTTCTGAAACTGACCTATCTGATTCTTCTCAGCAGTTTATATTTGCAACAAAAATACAATAAGATTACCTATCAAAAGTACAGGAAAGGATTGAAACTAAAATTTACAATCAGACCGCATTCTCAAGACTATCTGCGATAACATTTCAGGAAATCCGCTAATCAATATATCCGTCTGTAATCTGTACACAGTCTGTGTGTATACCAATCTGTTTGCAGTCCCATGGTATGCATTTGTCTGTGTTAACCTGTGTTCTGATTTGTTATGTCCTGAGGATAGACCTCTTTTTTAGTTAAGAGAGACAGTCTTTTTTCCTACTACCCCTCCTACAGGCTCATTTCCTCTGATATCCTGAAAATTCCACCCTGACCACTGCACCATAAGCATTTATTTTTAGCCTAGCATATTTCAATTAATTTGATTTAAATTGGCTTAATGCATTGCATAAAGATAGCATTTTCTCTCTGGCGTTAATAATTTGCTGCCCTTTTGTTAACTTGTAAAATATTGTGAGTTTATGTCCAACTGTATTATGTTTGAAAGTATTCCTTATTATTTAATATTTTTAAAAAATTTTGCTGTGAACTTTTGCACTCTTGAAGAACTTTCAAGTACCTGTATCCAACCCATAGGCATTCACACTGTTGGTATGTTCTATGTGGAAATTGACTTTTCTAGCAGTATTGTTTCCTTGGGTTTAAAAGGAACATAGTGAATATACTGATTTGGTTTTCCTGTGAGCATGCGGTAGAGTTTATTATTGATAATAAAATACCAACATATTTCACAATCTATGTTCTGTAGTACTGTCAGCAAAAATTAATTGATTACTGCTTAAAGAAGTTTGAGAGAGGATGAGTTAAAGATGGGAAAACTAAGGTGTATTTTTAAAATGGCATTATTTTAGTTCTAGTCATGATTTCATTATAAAAGCATTTTAAATTACGTGTGAGAGAACAGCAATATTTAAAAATATATGTATGAATAGTGTGGCGATCCTCCATTATTAAATGAAAATAATTGTTTTAAACAAATTGTCACTATCGCTGCTACTTCCACCTATTCTGAGTTACTGAATTCTGATCACTCAACTGTGAGTCATCTCTATCACTCCCAGACCTGCTGACCATAATTACCTTTTAGGTAAAACCACAGCAATATTTAGTAGTAAACATACCACTTAATGGAATACCCATTCCTCGAAACATTGATGTGGTAAGTTTTTACACTAAATATAGAATGTCTCTATGTTTCTCACTGTAAATAATTATTCTGCAATGTGCCATACTTACAACTATTATTGTCGAGTTCTAAAAATAATTTTCAATTACTTGTTAAATACATTTAAAGTTTATTTCAAAATTTGTGTATACTGCAGAAATTAAAAAATTATTTAAGTCGACTGAAGAGTGCCAAATAGAAGCCACAGGTGAGGTTTTGATGGATCAGAATTTTTCTTTTCAAATTGACTGCTTCCTAGCTACAGGTAAAACTTTGTATGTTCCACAGGAAGACCTAAACAGAGTGAAATATAAATTGTGAACAGCATGAGAATTTTCAAAAGTATATAATTCTGTTTAAAGTAAGATCTCATCTTGAATTGGTTATATACAGTGCTAATATAACACCATATCATCTCTCAACTCTTGTGTGGGTTTCCTCCGGGTGCTCCGGTTTCCTCTCTCAGTCCAAAAATGTCTAGGTTAGATGCATTGGCCATGCTAAACTACCCATAGTGTCCAGGGGTGTACAGGTTAGGTGGATTAGCCATGAGAAATGCAGGGTTGTAGGGTTTGGGGGGTGGGTCTGAGTGGAATGCCCTTCAGAGGATCGAAGTGGACTTGATGGGCTGAATGGCCTGCTTCCACACTGTAGGGATTTTAAGATTCTTTTGACAGTTATGCTTTGTAGACTTGATACAAGTGCAGTGTTCCTCCACTCAAGAGGGAGGAAGTTGTATTTGAATGATTTTAGAATCTGCAGTGCATGTCCTGGGACATGTACTGAGAACTCATGTCTGTTGATGTTTGGTTGGGAAATGGTGGACGATTGTCTAAAAAGAAAGGAGGAATAACTTGAAAAGTGTGGGGTTGTTTTGCCAATAGGAGGTATGATTATTTTTAATGGCCAAGTGATAAACTATGTACAATAACCGTGAAGATTATTAGGGAAATTCTTAAGTAATAACTACAATATTTTAATGTTTTGCAAGTTTGCAAATGAGATAAAGTTGAAAACTGAAAGCTTGGTGGTGAATTCTGTGAAATCTAGTATCATCCTTTGTACTCAATATATAGGTGTCAGAAATTGAGAAGGATCAACTCCGTCAGCAGTTGGCACTGAAGATCCAGCTGATTAACATATTGCGTAAGGAAACTGAGCAAGTGAGGCAGCAGGAGGAAAGACAGAGAATGGAGATGGAAAAAAAACAGGACGAGATTGATAATCTAGGAAAGATCCTGAAGTCTCTTGATCCCAAAGATCCTCGACATGTGAGTAGAAATAAAGAAGTAACACAATGTGAACCTAATGCCTTTAATGATGTCACCAGGGTCTTCATTTCCTTTTGCTAATTGTCGAAGGGAAGGAAAAAAATAAGTTGAAATTCAGGCTAATCCTTATTTTTGCCATGCATACGTAATCTTTTAACAACCCAAATGATAAAACTCAGCAATTTCCAGGTTTACACTTGATAGTTACGGCTGTCCAGAGAATATGATTCAAAATTGTATACCATTATACATAAATATTTTTAATTCAAATTGTCCAGATTTGAGTCCGAACCTTTTGGCGCAGTGGTAGGGTCAGTACCACAGTGCCCAAAAAGCCCTATTGCCATAGTACATAGTCTGACCATAAATGAATCTAGTTACCTAACTGGTTAGCATAAGTTTGTACATTTAATTCAGTAGAATTAAATAGAATTAAAATTTATAGGGGAGGCAATGGCCTAGTGGTATTATCGCTGGACTGTTAATCCAGATACCCGCATAATATTCTGGGGACTCGTGTTCAAATCCCACCATGGCAGTTGATGGAGTTTGAATTCAATAAATATCTGGAATTAAGAATCTAATGATGACCGTGAATCCATTGTCAATTGTCAGAAAAACCCATCTAGTTCATTAATGTCCTTTAGGGAAGGAAACTGCCATCCTTACCTGGTCTGGCCGACATGTGGCTCCACACCCACAGCAATGTAGTTGACTTTGAACTGCCCTCTAGGCAATTAGGGATGGGCAATAAATGCTGCCTAGCCAGCGACACCCTCATCCCGTGAATGAATAAAGAAAATAAAAAAAACCAAATCTAGTTTTCACGTATATTTTATACGTTTTACATGATATAAAGAACTGACTAACAAGTAATAATTCATTTAATTTCTTGTGTGTGCAGGCCACCTTAACAAAGTTTAATTATTTCAAAGTGAAAATACAGGATTAATTAATATATAATCTCGTGTAATACTGTGCTGTGTTACATTTCATCTGTGAGTTTGCACCACTTTTGTAAATTGAACATGTATGAAACTGATGAGGTTCAACAAGGGGTTTTTACTTCGTCATGTAAGAAACAAAACCTCTGATGTAATTTCACAGCAGTAATAATTCATGTTCGGGGCTTTTAAAGAAGGGAAGACTCATACACAAAGGTTAAAAATAGTCCCTGACTGAAACTAGTGCAAAATCAGTCTATTTATGAGAATAACCATTGCACGAAAAGGAAGAATGTATTTTAATAAATATTTGCTTCAATAATAATTTGAAAATTGTTTTGTATCAGTCATACCAATAAATAACTAAAATATTTAGTTTCTTGTATATTAAGCCTGAGAAGTAAACCATTGTAAATGGACAAAATCTTTTCACAGAGAATAAATAATAGCAGCTTGGATGTTTATTTCCCTACATCAATTGGCAGATTCTGTTCAAAGGTTATTTTTTCTGTCTAAAAATATATTGAGTAAATCTGAAGATTATATGCTCCGTCTCATCAGTTGTAATTTCTAAAGTGATATTTAAATGGTTTTGTTTATGTGAATGCTGTACGGAACCACATAAGATGTCAGATCTGGCTGAAATAAGTGTATGCATAGCGCTTACTTAAATTAATGTACTGATCTGTTAGCAGCTTTGTAACAAGAAAGAGAACCTGTGAACTGTGAATCTCCACAAGTTGTTGGATGATTTGCACCACCCTGCTGTTGACTTCATGAAAATACCAACTTGCGTTTAACCTCCCAGTGATTTTCATGATGTTGTTGCGTTTCCACATTAATTGGCCACTAAGAGTTCAGTTTATAATTACTGTATGTACCTTTTAATAACATGATAATTTTTAATGGCTTTCAGTCAACTTCCCTTACTTAGAAGGTGAACAGTTGTAAGTGTGGAGAGTTTAAGGACATAGTTTTATTTATTTTAATTTTTACAATCATTTTCTTTGTCTCTATTTTCTTCCTTCAATCTCATGTTTCTTTCTGTCTTTACCTCACTTTCTATACCTGATTTGACATCAAATTCTTCCACACTAATTTACCTTTATCTCAGTTCTTCCTCATTGGTTAAAGAGAAGACTTTCCAGAGAATACACAGAGATTTTGCAGAGATTTTCTCAATGCTCTGTGGAACGTTTGTCCAGTGTAAACTGGACATTGGAGAAATTGGGGTTGTTCTTCTTAGAACGGAGAAGGCTAAAGGAGCATCAACAGAGGTGCCTTAAATAATAGAGTTTAAATAAAGAAATGGTTGGGGTTTCCACTGGTTGTGGGGTTGATAATTGAGGACACAGATTTAAGATGACCGGTGAAAAAGCAGAAATGACACAAGGAAAAGCTTTTGAAAGCAACTAATAATTAGGATGTGGAATGCACTGTCCTGGTAATGTTGGATACAGATCAAAGAATAAAATTCCAGAAAAAATTAGATAAATATTTGAAGAGAAGTTGAAGGGCAAAATCTCAGGAGGCAGGAAGGATTCAGGCAAGTGGAAGATGTTTGTTCAAGCAGAAACCAGTTTATGCAAGGGGAGGGTCAAAGGATCTTCTCCAAATCCGGCTTTGGAAGATAGATCGATGACACACCCTCTGCTTTTACAAAGAAGTACAACATTTCTATACATTTTGTGTTAAAATAATCAAAAGCGACATATTCACTGTCTTTTCCCTTAATCCAACCATCCAATCCCCTGGGACACCTAACCAGTGACAGCCTCAGGTTCCCATGATCTTATGGTATTACCCAGACATTGTAATCTGTAGGCCTTGGGATCTTTCTATGCATCCTATTCATTCGCATTCCAAAAGTTTAAGGTCTGTACTCCTTCGGGTCTTTCTCAGGCTTGTTTATCTGTAAAGACAGCTCAAATTCTGTTACCCATTGTATATTGGTGCTGTCTTTTATCAAATTGAGTTACTCCTTTTATTTTTCCACTGACCCAATTACATAATGTAAAAATAAAAAGTCTGTTAGTTTTAACTGCTGTAAGGTTAACTTCTGTTATAAAGTTAATTATAACATAAAACGTTATACAACTACTGCTGTTAGCATTTTGTAATTTATGAGTTGTGAGCAATCTATCTTGTTCAGGGCATAAGAGAAGATGTCTCCTATGGCTAGTTAACCTTCACATCTAAGCTTAAATGTTTTTTAAGGCTTGTATTATACCCTAGTTATGTATTGAAACCAACTTTTATGTTTGAGCATTTTTAGCTAGAAGCTATTTAATATTGAAGATAGCTTCAAAGAGGCAACTATTTACTGCAAAATAATTTTAGCTGTTATCCTTGCAGCTGCTTAAGGACCTAATCTAGCACCTGATGTTATTCATTTACTGGGGCAGTCATCCTTTCATTAATAAAACTGGAATTGGTCATTTATTTGGCCTATGGCATCTTTTTATCAGAATTGTCTCAGTTGGGAACATGCAGCATTCTTGTACTGACTCTTCTAGCAGTCCTGTTCAAAGGTACCATTGTATTTAAAAACCAAAACAACTGCGGATGCTGTAAATCAGGAACAAATACAAAGTTGCTGGAAAAGCT